TTAATGTTGTGACCTTCTCATAGAATTCACATCAAGAATAGAGTGACAAAAGGATCCTTCACACAACAATCTTTGATGTACCTCCTCTGGGGTAGGATTAAAGGGAAGCCACCCACCCAGCACAGTCCTCTCCAAGAACTGAACCATCAGAGTAAACAGCAACCACTTTGGGCACAACACAGACAGCACTTCAACCTGCATCTTAAGTGCACTGCTCAGACTACCTTATTTCAAACATTAAACATTACCTGTTTCTCCCTGAAAGAACGCTTATTTTTCGTCCGGACACTATGGCTGTATCTCATCATCATGAAGTTCTTGTTCTTTTTCTTTTCTTTGTTGGAAGAGCTGGCAAATGGGTTAATTCTTGTTTTCTTTTTCACAAATTCCTTTCTGTCTGTTTTTCCAGCCTAGAATAATTAACATAGTATAGAAACAGTTCCCTACAGTTCACATCAGCTGTTAAGATGATAGGTTCCACAGCAGTAACAACAAATCCAGGTTCAGCATGACTTGGCGTGTTACACACATTCTTCTGTGCTGGCTGCACTGAAGTGACTGAGAATTTTGTCTATTTTCATTGTCACCTGTAACCAGCAAAAAGCTGTTACAGCCGATACGCAACAGCAAAAAATCAAAACACTTTTCAAAACACAGATGGCAGCTGGGCACCGATCTTTAAAACCCCACCACGCCCTCCTCCTGCAGGAGATAAAACCACAGACCCACCCCTAGGAAGACTGAGGATATGAAATAGACCCATTTCTCACCATTGCAGTTGCCAGTCTGGTCTCCTTGTCTGATTTTGGCTTCTTATGTAGATGTTCAATATCCCTGAGTGAAAGTAGCTCTCCCCTACACACAAGAAGAGGACAGAAGACCATCACACACAAAGCTTCATCCAGCAAGAAAACAAAGAAGCCCTCTTGATCCTTTGTCTCTCAAAAGGTCCTACCTGCCTTCCTCCTCTTCGTCCTCTATTTCAATATATTTCCTCTTTGCAGCTTTGCCCGGTGCAGCATTAACTTCTTTGGAAAGTTGGGCGAGGCGTATTTTGTGGAACTCTTCTTGAGTGAGCAGCCTGCTTGTACTGACTGCTGCAGCTTTGGCTTTCCGTTCATCTATGGGCATGCTTTTCACCTTCTCTGCCTTTTGAAAAAACACAAAAGGAGAGTCATCCAGAGCTTCATAAACCATTGGTGCTGCAACCCATGACCCTTGCCTCCCAGAAAAAAAATCTATGTAGGGGCAATATTCTTGCTAAGTGCTACTACCAACTGTTAGGATCCTTCGTAGTTTTATGTCAAACGTAATATTTAATCAAGAAGTACAGCTACTCCCTATTTCAGGATGAATACAAGCACTTGTGCAAATATCACAGCTCTGAAGGTATTCAGTACTGGGACAGAATCCCCCATCTCTCCCCCTCATCTAACCACATGCACACAGATCAGGTGCTAAATCATACTTCAACCTCACTGATTCTGGTCAAGTTACTCTGCAACCTTGGGGCTGTTATTTATGAGCAGCCATAAAGCAAGACAGTCTGGCCTGCTATTAGTAATACTCATATGTTTGGGGCAGAAGACATCTAGAACTTACTACTTCTTGCTGCTCCTCATCTGAGGAGTGATGCACATCAATCCATTCTCCATCTTCATTATCTTCTTCCCCACTCAGACTAGCACTTTCCCAGCCATCTGCTCAGGGAAGAAGTGCACAGAGCTGTTAATACGGATTCTGCTTACATGCTTGAGTTCCAGGTTGTGAGGAGCATTTCCAGAGAAAGTGAATAAAAGGGTATTTGCCTTTTTAAAAAAGCACTGTTTCTGAGGTTTATAATGCACAACAAAAAATTTCCCTTAGGAAAATCTGAACACAAAGTTTCACAGCTGTACAACATCAATTCCCCTGCTTTTCCATCCCTCAGTGTTTATTGTACAAAGCAAGTGACACCAACAAAAATCCTGGAAAAAATGCACATACTCAAGAATATTATCAGTGCTTCTTAAAGGACTAATACAGACATGGAAGCCATGCAGCACACAACAGCAGGGAGTGAAACACACTGAAACCAAATTTCATCTCTAAATAAAATCTTCATGACAACGATGCTCAAAGTAGAAGTGGTACAGAAAAAAACCAACCTTCCTCCTGGGTTCCCCCCTCTTCCTTTTGAATCTCAACATCCAGTACTTCTGCTCCTGGAATGTAGTCTTTGGCATCCAGTTCTCCATATTCATGAATCCTGGCTTCTGATGAGGCCTCAGTAGGCTTACCCTGTGAATTAACAAAATACACATTAAGCTACCCACAAATCCATGAAAAAGTTTCGGGAGAGGAAGATGCAGCTAGAAAAGATAAATGCTGACTGATAAAAGATCTTTAATTACTAAGAAGTTCTAAGAAGTTGAGCAAGCTCTAAGAAGCTAATCAAGCTTCTGTAGGACAAGCCTTCTGTCAAAGAGTTCAATAAATCTCAACTAAGGAAATCTTGTAGTAAGAGCATGCCATGTCCAAAGGCAGCAAGGAGCAGGCAGGGGAAGAAGGTAGGTGTGATGCCACCTCATTCAAGAGGCTGAGACCAGTTAACACTTACAATCACAGGAGCCTATCTTTTTTGGTGATTTCAATGCACATAGAGCACTTACCCTGAGCTTCTTCTGCAGCATCTCTGGATCAAGAGTGCGGAAAAGGTGTATCAGATTTCTTGCAGACATCATCACATCTGTTCAAAAAAAAAAGTCAGAAGTACAGAAAAGCAGAACTCCATTGAAAGTGGTACCTCCCAGCCCCCATAGAAAGCAATTAAAACATCACTATTACAAGGGCAGGATGGAGAATGGAGAACCAGATGATACAGAAGATTTAGAAGTCATATCCATATAGAACTTACTTTTGTTTTTGTGAGTCCTGTACTGAACAAGGTCTTGGAGCAGATCTTCAGTCATAGCCAATGGACATCGAGCAGTGATTTCTTTTATTGCATTTATTCTAAAAAATTGGAAGTGAATTATTCTCTGAATGCTACACTTGGGTGAGACTCCCACTGGTCCAGTAGTAGATTAATTATCTGGAACCTGAAGAACTTGACTGTAGGAGAGAAGAACATCACAAGGACCTCTCCATGCCATGGTCTCCCAAAGCCCTCCATACTCTAATCTCATACTGTACTCTCCAGCTATTATTTTCTCTGATCCACAGCCTCAGGGTTTCACAACTGAAGTCTGGGTCCAGGCAGACAGGAAAACCAGTTTAACAATAACCAGGCCAAGAAAAAGAGAAGGAAAAAAAAAAAAAGACAAGAAACAGTTCTAGGGTAAGCCTTGAGCAGCTAAGGACAGTGTAACACAAGTATGTGAGCTCACACAAGTCCCCGTTTAATCTATCATCATTCACACACAGAGCACTAAACCTGGATTAAAACCATGGCAAGAAGAAAATTAATAGCTCACATAATAGTCGCCAGTTGTCTACAAAGTCTGCCCCTGTCAAGTACTTTGTCTTCAAGGACAGTTCTCCCACATTTACAGATCATTCTCTACTTCAGTTGCACCAGAGCTTTCACAAAAACCTCTCCTGACTAGTCCAAGTACCTTAGTTTCACTAAGAGCAGCATTTAAATTGATGTCAGTAGTGACATTTGGCCCACCAAAGTTAAGAGTCCTCAGCTATGATGCTAGCCACTGAGTATGTACTAATGTAATAGACAAGAGGTCTGCCCTCCAAGGAGAAACAGCAATGTCCAGGAAGGAATAAAAATAAGAGATGAAACAAGAAAGCAAAAAATGCAGTGTCATGAACTCCAGAAACCTCACAGCACTGATCACAGAAACCCATCATTCTGGGGAGTTTAAAACACTGTCAACAGAAACAAGGGATGTTTACACTGAGATACTGTCCTAGATGGTTTTCGTTCTAGCAGGTTCTTAAGAGCATAGTACAAGTGACAGGACTAAGTTGCAGGTGGTTTAAAGAACTCTTCTTCTACACTCAGAGAGAGTTTTATAGGTTTTGTAATATTCTGCACTCACCCTACAGTCATGACCTCCCCAGAATTCTTGTCAGTGACAAAGTTGTTGGCAATGGTCATTAACACTGACTGGATAATCTGAAAACAGGAAAAGTTAAATACACTTAAAACATTTAAACTGTGAAAATGATTGCACATAATTAACAGAGTAACCAAAATTACCATAAACTTTTCAAGACAAAGGGTCTGACCAGATTCCTTTTTCCCCCTCCCCACAGACACACTCAATGGTACTTCCATGCTGGTCTGCTCTTTTAACATCATGAACACAGGTGGAATACTGACCTCGGGGGGTACTAGCTGATGTGAAGCCTGAGCAGCAAACAGAAGAATCTTTGTCACTTCTGGAAGGAAAGAGGGAAGAAAAGCCAGAGTATTGCTGCAGCTTACTCTGGCCAATAAACACATTCATCAAACCACCTCACTGAGCACACTGCTCACTCCAAGTCTCAAAGCTGGCTCAGCCTGGATTTATTTGGGACAACTATTTCTCCTCTCCCACCAAGCATTAGGAACTTGTCTAATCTCCACCCCAACAGCAGTGCAGGCCCTTAACAGCCAGCTAAGACAAAGGAGCACTCTAGAACTAGAATGAGCCACCAGTGAAAGAAAGCAGCAAAAGGTAGTCACTCTTTGCCCAACCAAGCTGCAAGGACCTAGGGTCTCAGCAGATTGATTTTAATCATTGCTGGGGTTTCTGAAGTCCTTACGTAAGGAACACGAGGTGCACTGCTCCTGTAAAATTCCAAAGCCCTTTGCACTTCTGGCAGTCAGGGCCTTTTCCTTTCTTCTTCCACACTCCATGGCTACTTCCTACTAAGATGCTGCTACTTATCCATTCACAGCACATCTTCCAAGAGCTGCCTGTACCTGTGTGACACAATGGTCCAGCAGTGCTAACAGTAGTGTAGCAGCAACTTACCTCTCTGATGGGGCTGCAGGAATCTCTGAATGAAGGGGTAGAAATTAAAAAGAAAAAGCTGCAGGAAAGAAGTTAAAACAGATTAGCTTCCCATCTCATAGCTTGACGTCACCTTCACAGGCTAATACACTGTGGAACAGTGATTCTATGCAGCACGCTATCCAAATGCCTTGGATTTTACTGCATGATGCATTCTCCTGTCTTGAGTTTTATGTAGAAACAGGGAATTTACGTGTACAAAGGATATACAAGGCTCCAGCCCAATCTCTGAAATTCAGAGTGGTTCTTGTTAGACTGCACAGGAGCTTAATTAGGGCACTCTGCTACACAATCTTATAGCATGCCATTTCCTTTTGCCTCAGGGACACATCTTACCTCCCAGAACAGAAAGATTCCAGTAGTTTTGATCATGCTTTCACTGTACTCATGAACAGGTGCTGCTCATGAGCAATGCCTGGACTCCTCTGAAAAGCCTTCCTCCTTTCTATAACCTCCCAGGAGCAACACAGGCCTTGAAGAGCTGTTCTCCTCCATTTGTTAGAGACAGCTCAGTTAGTTCAGACCAACAGCTTTCTCTAGCACAGCTCACTTGGTACTATGTAAGTCTTGCACTGCTGTGCCATTCCACAAGGCCCACTGGCAACTACTGAACACATATCTGCCCTTTAAACATACAGAGAAATTAAGCCCCATTTCTCAGAAACACAAGGCCAGAGCAGGCCACCACCCAAACTAGGTTGGCTACCATCAGACCATTACAATAGTACCAGGGTATGTACCTCATGTATTCCAACCAGCCTAGATATTAGGTCCATGAGCATCATCTTCACTTCAAAGCGTTCCTTACAGCTCTCCAGCTGCTTTAGCAGTTTCTCTGCAAAATCTAGAGGAAGCAATAATAGATTTGTGGGAGACCCGAAGAAGACAATGCAGAACTCAGCTGGAACTGGGTTAAAAAAGCAGTCAGTTTGGTTAGGTTTTTTTGAGCCTTAGAAGGTCTAAAATCCCCACTAGTTCACTGCATGAGATTAAGATCAAGTCTTAATTTTTGAAGCCAAAGTCGCTATATTAAAGAAGCTACTCCCCAGTCACCAAATTATGGCCTTCACACATACAAGAAAGTGAGGGAAAGCCACGTCCCAGACTGTAGCACCCTGCTCAAGTTATGTAATAATGCCCCTTCCTTGTCTGACCACCTAAAGTGTTCCACTACAACCAGCAGACCAGGACTTATCTCACTTTTCTGATACGTTATGAAACTGTGACAAAGCACACCACAGGTAGCACCTTGTCCCATTGCTATCTGTCCTTCCAGTTCTCATGCACAGTTGAACCTAAGCCTCAGGGTCTGGGCTGAACACAACTTCAAAAAAAATACAAAACGCAACAAGTGCTCACCTTGGGGATCATGAATCAAGTGAATGGCAGAGAAGTTGAACACCTCTGGCTTGTTTTTCTTCTTCTGTTTCTGCATGGCAAAAGGAATAAGGGAGCATGGAATAAGAGGAATATACTTCAGTTGCAGGCTGTGGTCAAAAGCAGCTATTCACCATTCTTCCAAAAGAGGCTCTTTTATTTCAACAAGTGTGACTACGTGAAGAATACAAGTCAAGCATCACTGAGGTAGCTAAGTCACAGGGGCAACAAGATTCCTGCACTTCAAGGATTAAGCTGCAGTGCTGTCAAGTTGGACTCCACTCCTCTCACCTTAAGGACCTTCATGGCTTTTTCCAGCTTCTTCTTGCGCTTAGTGGTTTTCTTGTTCGTCGCGTACCGCATCAGCAGATCTCTGGCTGTAGGCGCATCATCCTAGAGAAAGGAAGCAAGGAGAACAATACTCAGCTGACATCAGGCTTCAAATGGGAATACAAAAAATTACCCGTATTTTTCAGGGCCATGTACTAGAGTTGAAAAATTCTCTTTCTTAAATTTCACCATACAGAAAACTACTGAAGTAACTGAATTACATTTGTATATCAATGCAAGGCAGAGCACAGAAGGGAAAACTGAGGACAAAACAGATAAACTATTAAAACAGCTTCCAGCACACCAGCTGAGAGCCTCTCCCCACCACTCTGCATCACCCATCTAGCAACTCACAGCTTCACAAACCAGGCTGACCAGTCCCTGCTTAGGTCTTCACAGGGGATTTCTTCCTTCCCAAGAAGACAGCACTTACTCTTCAGACAGCAGAGGCATCCTGCTATCAGTGAGACCAGCTGCCAGAACCACTGAACTTTGTGAAGCATAGAAACAAACGGAGGAAGTATGATGGAAAAGTAACACAGAAGCAAACTGGCAGAGCTAGGGTCACCAGGAAGACAGGCCTATTACGAGTTTGAAGAACCAAGACAAGATTTAATCACAACACTCACCTCAGATTCTGAGTCACTATCTTGTTTCTCATCTTCATCTCTCCCAAGAAAGAACTTTAAACTAGCAACTAAAACCTGAAAAGCAAAGTTTAGGTAGGACTGAATTATTTACAACAGCCTCACATAAACATCTTTGGCTATGCAGAGACTCTCGCCTTTATTTATAAGCATGGATATGAGAAGAAATCAAAACAAAGTGCAGATTGAGCCACAGGATTCTTACCAATAGTCAATTTTTGCTGCCTATCCTCAACAGTCACAGGCACAGTCAGAAAGCAGCTGGGCTTCCACAAAGCCTGCAGCAAGTTTAAAGCTGCAGCTCTTTTTCCTATCATTCCCCAAAGCAATGTTAATCCAGTTGCTGCAACTCTGTTCTCACCTTTGTCACTTTTGAAAAGCAGGCGGTTGTGATGACATTTACCGTTTTGGCATCGTTCCTGGAATAAGACAACACCACCTTTTACTTGAAGTGTGGCAGTTCCAAGCTATTCTCAGAAAACTAAGTCTCATGAAATGTGACTCCTAACAAGCATAAAGCTTCATTAGAATCAAGTCTCCCAGTGCTCCAAGTAGACTGGCAAACAAAGAAGCTAAGCTTCTGTCATTTTCTTTTGTTCTTCTAACATAGCAGTAGCTCCTTCTAAGTAAACAGCCACACTTGTGTTCCATCTTACTCACGCTAAAGGGATAGAGTTAAACTCCAGTAACACAACACACATTACCAGTTTTATTACTGGTAAAAAAATAAACCCCCTACTTGGTAAAAAAAAATCAATTCAGAATTTAACTAGTGCTGGAAAGGTAGCTGGGTAGTTTTTGTGGGTACACAGCAAGACAGAATGTATTTAAATTACTGCTCCCATATTCAAGTGATGTCAAGATGGCTGCCCCACAATAAACAGGGAACCAAGAGAAGCCCACCAGACCTACCAGATATTCCTTCTGTAAAGTTCTATCATCACATCCAGGGAGATCTTGGCAGCAGTGGGATTGCTGTCTCTCAACATCGTGTACATGAAGTTCTGCAGTGTCTATGGAAGAAGATAGGAAACTACTGTTACAGGTCTTTTAGAATGTCAAGAAATTAAACGGAAGCATATCTGCAAGCTAAGATACTCACTGTGTTTACTTTATGGTTCTTGTGTTTAGCATTGACATTCTTGATGTCCGACACAATGTGAGTATACAGAGTCTGTAAAGGCAGAGGCAACAGGGAGTCAGCTATGGAAGCATGCTGAGAACCCTGCAGGTATGTGGCTATTCCCCCGAAGTCTGAGGACTACAACAGGAGATCAAATTGCTCTCCATCAAGAACAATATTTTCTCACTTAACCAGAAAAACAACCAGAAGTTATCCTCTAAAGCTTCCCATGTGCTTTACTTCCATATATTTGAAAAACATAATCGACATTAAGTCAAGAAGTTGAAAGCATGAACTTCAAAAATGCCACCTGTGCTCCACCAAGGCATGTTCTGATGGCCAGCTGAGTATTTGTGGAAGCAGAAAACGAGTCTTTTCCCTTCTAAGGGAAAACCGTGAAATTCAGCTTCAACTAACAACTAGTTTGGGTTTAGCTTTTTTACTCCAAAGCTCACAAGAAGTTCAGTCCAAGAGCAGCATCATTATGGTTCCCACCTGCAGACACACCCAAGCTGCTCAGCTCCCAGTGCAGCACATCCCAGATGTTCACAGCAGCATGCTTAATGACTAATTAAAACCACAAGTCAACCCTCACCTCAATGACCTCACTGTCAATTGCCCAAAAAGTGGAATTATTGTAAACTCACTTTTCGCAGAAGCTTGTCATGGCACCGCAGCAGCTGGAAGAAGAGCTCCAACAAGCTCGTTGGGTTTATCAGGTTCTTGTTTCTTAACAAGATCAAAGCCTTACAGAATGTCTGTTAGAAAGAATTAGAAGCAAAATTTCATTATATGCTCCACTTTCCTTTGATGAGAGCAAACTAATCTCACACAAAGGGTGTGTTTTAACCCGGGGATGCTGCCCAAAGGGCCTTTCTGCAGGCCTCACCATGCGCAGGTCTGGGTCCAGGACTGAGTGGTGGTAGGAGAGCAGCTCCTTCAGCTGCTGGGGAAAGCTGGCCATGTGTTCTGGGTAGCAGTGAGCGACCTGGGCAGAGACAGCGCTGAGCTCTCCCGGGGAACCCCCAGGGACCTCCTCACCGCGCCGGCACGGAACGCAACACTCCTACCTGTGCCAGGAACATCACCAGCTCCGCCAGCTCCTTACTGGGCTTGTCCGGCTGGAAGGTGAAAATCTCCACCTGGGACTGGTAGTGCTGCTGCTGCTGAAGGAACTGAGCACAAACGGGGGGCAGCTGTCGAGCGGGACAAGCGA